ACTTATGAATTATTGTCTCTTTGGATTTGATGTTTGGCTTTTATTTCATGAGTTATATTGGTTAATGAAAACCGATTACGAAAACCGGGTAATGAATCCCCGTGAACCCAGATAAGACTTGGGATATGAAAAAAAATGTTAGTTAACACCCACTAAGTTTTCGAAAATGATTTTGAAAATTTTATTCTGGTTTTTGGAAAATTCGAAATTTCTGTAAAATCAAAGTGGGGTGTTACAGTTTGGTATCAGAGCCAGTCTGCGTTTCTGTAGACTGGCACATATGTGATTATGTGTTTAGACCTTATGTATGACCACTCGTCTCCGTCACTCCGCGCTGCTTAAGGTATGTTTGGTTTAAGTATTAATGAAAATACTTGTTATGTAATTGATGCACTTGTAGTAATGAAACTACTTGTGATGAACTTGTTATCTTTGGGGCTTAGGATCTATCCACCTTGACTTAATCGAACTCTAGTGTTTGTGGCGAACTCTAGACTTCTGATGTATTATTGTTTGTTTTCTGTGCTAACTCTGCCCGGCTTATTCAATGTAGAAGCATGAATACTCGCAATCGTAATCGCCAGCCATCCCCATCTCCTTCTCCCCCTCGTCATCAGCACCAGGCCCCTCCGGCCATGGACCTCACGCAGCTGATCGTGCAGTTTCAGCGCATGAATGCGCCGACTTTCTCGGGGACAGAGAACCCCACAGCTGTGCTTGAGTGGATGAAAGAGTTGGACAAGATCTTTGTTGTGCTTCCCCTCCCCGATCGTCAGCGTGTGTCTCTTGCGGCGTTTCAGATGAAGGAAGATGCCTCAGATTGGTGGATTGAGCTTTGGGCTCGGAGGCCCGAGGCAGAGCTTCATGCTCTGACTTGGGAACAAATGAAAGTGATGGTGCGCAACAAGTTCCTTCCGCAGAGCTTCTGGGACAGAATGGAGCACGAATTCTACCACTTGCAGCAAGGTGGCTCCTCGGTGGATGAGTACGTCCGCACCTTCACCCGTATGTGCCTCTTTGCGGGTGATGCGGTGAACACTGATGCTAAGAAGGCCCGGAAGTTCCTCAAGGGCCTCAACCAGAGGATTCGCGAGCTGGTGGGTAGCCATGGACCGATGTCATATGCTGATACCGTGAGCCGAGCCCAGGAGGTGGAGAGCTGCCTCATTCCGGTTGTTCCCATTCCATCCTATCCTCTTGCCTCCCAGCCCCCTCAGGCTATCCAGTACGCTCAGCCCATCTCGACCGTGCCGCCCGGCTCTAGCTCGGGTAAGAGGAAGTCCGACTTCAAGAACAAGAACAAGGGCAAGAA